CTCTTTCCCCTTATTCTTATATCCATGTGCAGTATGTGTGTTTTGATAATTTAGCCAATCATGTCTTCAAACCACTTTGGTGAAGACCGGTTTTCAGTTTCGTTTTGGAGTTTTGTAATTAAAAATCTACCACTAGATTTTGCTTCAATTTAAAACATTTAACAGTCTTAATTCATAACCAAATGTTGAATTTAATCTCATAACTTTATCACATCTTTATTGACTGAGTTTGGGCAACCCTCTCTATCCAATGAGGACTTTCTCCATTCTAGTTTTGATTCTATTTCGTCATCATTCAGGGTAAGGGATCTCATAAGATAGCACATACCAATCCCAGAAATAAATGCGCTTACCTATTCCCACAAATAGTGGGCGTGTTTCACTGCAGGGAGCAAAATTAATTATACCTTGAAAGGCAAGAAAAATCTTTGAAAGATCAGAAAATTTTCAAAATATGAATAGTCCACAGGACAATCCAACTCATACAAGCCACAAAGATACCCAGTCCAAACAGTTTCAGAACAGCATCAACAGGCTGCACAATGGCACTCATGGGGAGTTCCACTGTTGGTACCAATTCAAACTCATCAAGTTTGACACCCAGGAAGGTATCCTCTAACACCACTACTGGTGAAAAAAGGGATGAAAACCTCTTAGACAGCAAACTCCAGAACCAGGAAGGAGGATAACTGAGAGCACAAGAGAGTTGAGAGCCATATTGTTCAAGGGTTTGCCATGTTCACAAAACTTCAGCAACATCCAATTGCTCCAGCAGGTCTATTGTCAGTGATAGTTGACCACAAGCTTTATCCTTATAAAGAACCTTTGTTTGAACATTTAAGCCATTTGAACCTCGAGACAAGAGAATAGATCTTGAAGATTTCTCCAATTCAAGTGCCAGAATTCTGAAGTTTTATCCTCAGCACAAAGGTCTACCATCAAGACAAACCCACTCAGATTTAACTGCTTGTGCTCTTGATTCTTTTGAGCCACAAGTACCTGCAAAGGAGTCCACAGATGTTATGCAAAAGCATTAAAAGAACAGCAATATTAAAAACTCTGAGAAAGTACAGGCTTTGACAAGATTCCTTAGAAATGATTGATTGAGAAGATATAGTGCAGCCGCAGCCAATGCCTATCAGCAATGCATAGCCTGAAAGGGGAGCCAGTCGAGTCCAGTAAATCATGACCAGGCTAAAAAGTAGGGCGAGTAATGATATGCTAGCTTGACTCCTAAACATTACATTTGACCCAAAAATCAATTCCCATGAATGACACCCTTACCAAAACGACCACTGAGAAATGGCTTTTCAAAAGATGCTACAACTTGAGCTAAGGAAGATGAATGAATGAAAAAATGAATGAAAAACTTTTAATTATTAACACATCTTTGAGAAAGGAGCTGAGGGGAAAGGTCCCCTCTACTAATTGAGGACACCTTTTTACCATATCTAAATTGGATACGTAAAATAAATTAATTTACTTTATAAAAATTTACAGTTGATATATCTAAAACTTAACTTTTTACTACAAAGTGCATATAATTATTACAATTTTTACAGAGGTAAGTGTCAAGAATGTGGAGAGATCACCCTTCCAAGTGAAAAGTTTAATTCACCAAGATAAGCTTTTGGGACCTCAGAAAAAGAACCTACACCAATCAAGGCCACCAACAGGTCCACCCAGACTGAAGCTACAGAAGAAGACAGTCAGGTAGAATAAGAGCAGCTATGAGATAGTGCTCCAGCTATTTTACAATTTCCTCCTGCTACTTTTTTTTAATTTGAAAAGCCTGATGGAGTGATATTCCTGCAGCAATGATCATGAATTCTTTTTTGAAATGTGCCATAATGTATAATTTAGATGGTTCCAAAGACAATAAAAAGGTCGGAGAGTGTCAGCGGTTAGCGGACAAGATGGCTGCTTCTTTCTTCGCTCGAGGAAATTGTAGTCAATTTGAGTCTAGTGCTCTGTAACGTGTGATATATTGTATCTGTTTAATATTGTGAGTATCTACCAGTATGCCCGCTAATAATTGCGACCAATTTACCGAAATTTTAGATGAGAAACTCAATCCACTTAACTCGTCAATCTCCAAGTTAAAAAAATCAGTTAAAGAGGCGATGAGTTTTCTCGGATTTGTGAATGCGAAGTATGACAAATTGCTAGAGATGATGAAGAGCTCAAAGGAGGAAAGAGAGGCTTTGAAAGATGAGAATAAGACTTTGCAC